GGTTTCGGGTATAGGGTTTAGGGTATAGGGGCCTCTGGCAATTTAGAATAGTGTTTTGAGGTATATTATGCTATAACTACATAAGCACTAGAAAGAGATGTGATTAGTCATAATGTTTAGGCTTCTGTATCCGTGAATCAGGGATTAATAGCCTCTTTAAGGATCTCATCGTGATTAGGGTGTTCGCGACCTTCATGCACGTTTAGGGTTTAGGGTTTAGGGTTTAGGGTTTAGGGTTTAGGATTTAGGGTTTAGGGTTTAGGGTTTAGGGTTACAGGGGTCTCATTGTCTTTTCCTGGGTGGCTGTTTGGGGGCTGGCGAAGGTAGTGAAGACTGGGGAGGGAGCTGAAGCCCCTCGCCGGTTTAGGGTTTAGGGTTTAGGGTTTAAGGGTTTAGGGTTTAGGGTTTAAGGGTTTAGGGTTTAGGGTTTAGGGTTTAGGGTTTAGGGTTTAGGGTCCTAATATACCGGCCGAGATATATAAAAGCAGGTGGGGTGTAACATCGCATTGCAGTAACTATCCCATTTGGGGGATTCCGTATTGTTCTATTTCCTTTTAAAATCAGAAACAAGATACGTCTTTCGGGGTCCAGGCATTTTTCGAGAAAGTGGGACCGTGTGCTTAAGCTGATAAGGTTTGGCGTTTACATTGCTTACATGCTTGGCTATACGATAGAAGCAGTTTGACTATGGAGATACAGCTTGCATGACACCCTATGTAGGCCAAGGTGCTTGGGAGTTTGTGGGCTGATTAGAGCGTTTCAGAAACTAGATGCGTGTAGATCCCTAAACCCTAAACCCTAAACTCTAAACCCTAAACCCTAAACCCTAAACCCGAGACTTTGCAGCTTCCAGGTTTCCAGCATCAAGTCTCATAAACTGCCGCTCCACCTTCAACCCACGACTACCCCCGTTCGCCTGAACCCCAAATCCCGTTCCCCCCCCCAGCAGAATATGAGCCATACGCGCCATACGCCATACGTCTTGCGAGAATGCCAGAATGACATTCCCCTAAGTTGCGTCGAAGCCAACAGATCACTCCAATACCTCACCAGCCCTGCCTGAACCCTAAGCCCTAGAAGAAACTCCCATAGGAACCCTTATAGATCCCTGCAAAGGGACCCTTAACTCACTTATAACTACCCAACCCCGACCCCGTCAACCCGAAACATCCCCAATTAGACCCTACAATGGCACTACACTAAACTTCTAAACCCCGAAACCCCAAGCCACTTATAACTTAGGGTTTAGGGTTTAGGGTTTAGGGACCCTAAACCCTAAACCCTAAACCGTCCAAGTACGGACCCTTGTCGTAGAAGCCCAAAGTTGGGAACCCAATAGCCACATTCCTTGCGAGCAATGTCTACCCTAAGGGTCCATGTACCCGAATAGTATATACTTTGGCCTTAATGTAGTCCCTATATAGGTACTTTAGGGCCAATGTATATACTATTTGGGTACATGGACCCTTAGGGTATAGGGAAATCCAGCACTAATTGTCCTTTCTCAGGTTTCCTACTTGTTGGGGTTTGATATAGGGGCTTTGATAACTAGACTAAGGTTTTGCGCATATATTATACTGTAATCACAAAAGGAGCCCCAAAAATAATGTAGGTAACTACTTAGGCCCCTAAACCCTAAACCCCTTAGCCCTAAACCCCCAAACCCTAAACCTTAAACTCTAAGCCCTAAATACTAACTACTAAACCCTAAACCCTAAACCCTTAAGCCCTAAACCCTTAAACCCTAAACCCCTAAACTTAAAACCCATAAGCCCTAAGCCCAAAAAACCCTAAACCCCTAAATCCCTAAACTCTAAACCCTCAACGCCTAAACCCCTAAATCCCTTGAACCCTTAACCCTAAACCCCTAAATCCCTTGAACCCTTAACCCTTAACCCTCAACCCTAAACCCTAAACCCTTAACTTAAGGTGAACCCAAGCTGCCCCCTCCTCGGGCTCTCGGCTTTCCGGGCGCTGCGGGCCTCGGAGCCCCCAGGTTTAGGGCCCTTTTCTGTGCTTTTAGGTTTAGGGTTTAGGGTTTTGGGGTTTAGGGTTTTGGGGTTTAGGGTTTAGGGTTGTGGGGTTTAGGGTTTAGGGTTTAGGGTTTAGGGTTTGGGGGTTGGGGTTTTGGGGTTTAGGGTTTTAGGGTTTAGGGTTTAGGGTTGTGGGGTTTAGGGTTTAGCGTTTAGGGTTTGGGGTTTTGGGGTT